CTCATAATCCAATTCATCACTCCATTACCAAGCACATTGATATTCGACATCATTATATTAAATATCATGTTCTAAAAGGTAACATTGAGCTCATTTTTGTTCCATCTGACCATGTTAACGACCTACCATTTATTAAATAGGGTTCCAAATAAAAGGAATAAATCTATCCCATATGAACTTTGGTTCAAGAAAAAGTCGAATTTAAGCTATTTTGAATTTGGGGATGTCGGGCAGTTGTAAAACTAACCAAGCCTAAAATGAAAATTTTGGGAGAATGTGGAATAGATTCTATATTCACTGGATATTCCAAAAATTCCAAGGCATATAGGTTCTACATAATTGAACCTAATGATTCGGTATCAATTAACATCAATATTGAGTCACAGGATGCAATTTTTGATGAGATGCACTTTGCATCTATTCAAAGTCCTAATGATCTCACTTTTAGTACTAATGAAGTGCAAAATCCAAAAAGTCCAGATGGTGTTACTGAACCAAAAACACAAGAGCTACGAAAAAAGCAAAAGAGGCCAAATTCAAAAAATTTGGTTCCGACTTCTAAATGTACTTGGTGGAAGGAACAAGGGATGAGGAGGTTCTTCAATACTCTTATTGTTACAGTATTGAGGATGATCTAAAGGCAGTTCAAGAGACCATGCAGTCTCGATATGTAACATTTTGTAAGGAAGCAATTGATGATGAAATGTCATCAATTCTTGAAAATAACACTTGGGTGTTGACTGATTTGCCTCAAGGTTCTAAACCACTTGGTTGCAAATGGATTTTTAAAAAGAAAATGAATGTTAATGGGACTATTGACAAGTTCAAAGGTCGGTTAGTCATTCAAGGTTTTAGACAAAAATCAGGTGTTGACTATTTTGATACGTATGCTATGGTTGCGTGTATTTCTACTATTAGATTGTTGATTGCCTTGGAAAGTATCTACAAACTGGTGATTTATCAAATGGATGTGAAAACAACCTTTTTGAATGGTGAACTTGACGATGAAGCTTACATGAAACAACCAGAAGCTTTCATTATGCCCGGTAAAAAGCATATGGTGTGTAAACTTGTCAAATCTTTGTATGGGCTGAAACAAGCGCCTAAGCAATGACATCAAAAGTTTGATGAGTTTATTTTGTCCTATGGTTTCAAGATTAACCAATGTGAAAAATGTGTTTATAGTAGATTTGATTATGCTACTAGTGTTGGAGTGATCATTTTCTTATATGTAGATGACATGCTGATTTTCGGTACCGACCAAAATCAAGTGGATGAAACAAAGAAAATGTTATCATCAAAGTTTTCCATGAAATATTTGGGAGAGGCTGATATAATTCTTAGAATAAGAATTAAAAGGATGATCAAAGTCTTGGTAATGACTCAAAGTCATTATATTGAGAAAATTCAAAGCGGTTTAATTTTACCGATTATTCTCCTGTGAACACTCCTATAGATCCAAGTGTGAAATTGATGGACAACACATGAACTCCTATTTTACAATTGGAATACTCTAAGGCCATTGGTAGTTTGATGTATGCAATGACAAGTACCAGGAATGATATTGCTTTTGTTGTAGGAAAATTGAGCAGGTACACTAAAAATCATAATGCTCAACATTGTTAAGCAGTGAATAGAGTGTTGAAGTATATCAAGGGAACCATGGATTATGGCTTGAGTTACTTGGGATATCCTTCGGTTATGGAAGAAAATTTGGATGCAAGTTGGATAACCAACCTGGAGGATCATTCCTCAACGACTGTTTGGGTATTCTTGTTTCGGGGAGGTGCTATTACCTGGGCTTCCAAGAAGCAAACTTGCATTACAAACTCAAAAATGGAATCTGATTTTATTGCGTTACATTATGTTGGTTAAGAAGTTGAATGGTTAAGGAACTTAGTTTATGAGATTCCTTTGTGGTCTAAATCGATAGCACCTATTTATGTCCGTTGTGATAATGTTTCCGCTTTGGGTAAGGCCTATACTTAAGTGTGTAATGATAAGTGTCGACACTTAGGTGTCCGACACAGTACGGTTAGAGAACATATCATGAATGATGTAATTTCGATTGAGTTTGTGAAATCACAACATAATTTGGCAGATCATTTGACTAAGGGTTTGTCAAGAGACTTAGTGTAGAAGTTTGTGATTGGGATGGGATTAAAGTCCATTTAAATTTTGTAATGGTGGAAATACCCAATTCCCTTCAAATATGACATTAAGAGTTGAATTCAATGTGGAAAGCTCACACTTATAGATTGGAACACATAAAGTATACATCCTAGGTAATGTGTTCGGTTCTACAGTTGACTAGGTTGAAGCTTAACTTCTTAATAATTTATTTGATTAAATGTATATGCAGATACATGGAAAGGAGTTGCCTACATGATTGTGAAATGTAGCCTCATTTCAAGAGGTTGTGAACTTGGCCTTGATACGATCATGAGAGGATTGGGACACGCGGCTTAATAATTGTGTCAAGTTGTATTTTGCTAGAAATTTCAATAAACTAGTACGCATTTTATTTTCTAGTATTCAAATGGGTTAATGGGTTCAATTCCTAGAACACCCTGATTCTCGAGTATTTGTAAGAGTATGATACTAAGTTGAAATTCAATTGTTACGACATTTTCATTAAGTACTGGTTTGGTTTTATTTTGATAATGTTATGTTTGTTCAAGGGTTACACTAAAATGGGGGAGGATTGTTGGTGATTTTAGTGTCACCATGACATTTTTGTGTAATTGGAACTTACATGTGAGCTAAGGGGCTTCATAATTTTACTCTAAAATATGTTTGGGTATGTGTGGATTGCACGCATGTATAAGATCGAATTAGAAGCCGGTTCGATGACAAGTCGGGGGTATGGGGGCAGCGCCCCTGGTTCTGGGGTTTCCAAATGGGCAGCGCCACTTTGGCAGGGTCTAGGGGCATAGTGGAAAAATCAAAGTCTTGAGGGTGATTATGGAAACACTGAATCTCTTTTGGTGGAGAGGGATCACCTTTTTGTTCTCATTTTTCTTCATACGAGCATAGAATCTTCTAGCAATTTAGCTTACGTTTTATGTGCCTAGTTTCGTAAGTGTCCCCTTGGGATTATCCTACACTGAGTTTCTTGTAACTCGGGCATATGGTAGAAATATCAGTTCGAAAAGTGTCTACACGATTCAAGGGGTATCCACATCTCCACCATAAACCCTACCCAATTTATAACAGGAACTTCAATTCTTTCGCCACCCCCTAGTTAGGAGTGCCAAAATCAATCAAATACAGATTTTAAAGGAATTCAGTTACTTCCGTTTGATGGCCCAAAAGACATACGAAAGAATCTCACATTTAATTCTTTTGAATTTAACTGGAATCCACAAAGGATTGACTAATAAATACCATATGTTGAATTGGTGATAAATAAAAGATGAAAGTGGTCGTACTTAATGAGTGTATATTGAAAGTGTGTTAGAGTAAACAGTGTGGACATCGCTCACATCCATTTTTGTGACGTGGCAAAACCAAAACGCCATGGTCACGGCTAAACACTGTCCTTATTTCGTTTTTGTCTATTACCAGCGATTTCGTTGCCCTCCGTTGCCCACATAACAAATCGTAACACGATGGACCAGTCATTTTTTTTACTGTTGGTGAACGGTCATTATGTAAAAATAATTAAATAAATAATTTTTTATTTTTATTTTACATATAAATACACACACAAACATAATTTTTAAACACACAATCTTCTCTCATCTTCATACTTCTTTCAACTTTTATTTAAAAAAAAAAACCACTTTTCCTTTCAACCAAATATGGAGCCAAACCCAAACACCCCGCCTCCAAACATAAACACATCCGTCCCGATGGGGTTCGCACAATACAGGATTTATATGAACTTACTCAACTCAAACTCACCCCTAATGCAATTTCCTACATCTCCTTACATGCAACAAAACCTAAGTCTTCAACAAAACCTTTTCAGTGTTTTCACTTTCATGCAACAAACAACCACACAACCACCACCAGGAACTATTCACAAGCGGGAGGCAGTTGGAAAGGGAGAGGGAAAGGAAAAGGGAAAAGGAAAGGGAAGGCAATCGTGGATAGTGAATAAGAACTTGGACTATGGTGGACACTGAAGGAGGAGTACGCTTTGGCGGTGGCGTGGTGTCGGACTTCAAAGAGTTCAACCATCGAAAATGATATGGGAGGAATTGGGTTTTGGGAAGTTGTGTTCGGCAAATTCCACGCACTTATGAAGAAACAGCCATATCACAATATCGATATGCTTAGTAGCAAGTGGACTTCGATCAGTAGCCGGTACACCAAGTTTAATAGGATTTTCATGAGACTAGAATCACAAAAGCAAAGTGGTGCAAATGATTTTGATGTGTACAAAATTGTGCGGGAACAATATTAAGTCGAAATGGGGCACGCTTTCGAGTTTGAAAAAATATGGGAGATTGTCATGCAAGATCCAAAATGGATTCAGGCGCAAACATCGTCAGAGGCACAATCAAAGAGGTCTCGCAATTCTAGTTCGTTTGACGTTTTCGACGCACGAATAAACATAGACCTCAATGTTTGACGTTTGACGTTTGTAAGATGACATTTTTCAAAAAAAATAGAGAAAAGGAGTAGAGATATAGTTAAAGTTGTGTAAAAATGTTGTGTAAAATGGTAATATATATATATATATATATATATATATATATATATATATATATATATATATATATATATATATATAGTAAAGTTAAAAAAAAAAAAAAAAGAAATTAACCACAAAGACCGATTCAACGGTCAAAAAAACAGTCAAAACCCAAGGACCAATCACAGCACGCGGTAGTTTCTAGCCGCAGTGCGGCCAAGACCGCACCAGACCGCGACCTGGGGCGGTGTTCGCGGTTGACGTGGCACAAACCGCGGTCCCAGACCGCGCCCACAACCTTCAGCCTAAACGTTCCGTCAACATGTTTAGCAAAATTGAATAAATTTGGTCAATTTGCATGGGAAGACTAGACACCAGCGGTCTTTCAATGGTGTCGCAACTTTCTTGCAAAGAGGTCAGGTCATTTTCCTACCACATTCTGATAGCTTACAAGGTTCATATGTATGGGCAAATAATTTAATTAAAGTCAACATATCATTTATTGGTTTGTAGTTATATTTATTTTATAACTTTTTATATTATTTTCATTTATTTAAATATATTTGTATTATTTATGTTTTAGAAAGATGAGTCTCCCCATACGAGCGTGTCTGGCCAGCTTACGCGCGACACGATTGATGGCAACGAACCATCATTACCACACGAGCAGAAAACAACAACCAAATTAGAACTCGGGTAGACAGGCTATCATATACACATCTCTCAGAATATTTCATTGGTAGGCCACTAATGAAGTGGTTGTATTGTTTGTTTATAAACCAAATACGTATTGTGCTAGAAACGATAATTAGTTTGTATTTTTTATGATACTAGCTCCTAACTAGCTCTTCTCTTTATATATGGTTGTTTTTTAAAAAACGATTATTATATATCTTATAAATTATTTGTTTTTTAAACTATTAATAATTATATTCATATGAATGTATTATTCACTAACTGTTAGTTATAGATATTTAAGATATTTGTTAAAAAAATAAATAAGTTGATGTTATGAAATACTTTTGATATTACAAAAGCTGAATTAACACAGTTGAAAATTTTGTATCGTCATATCGGTGTGGATGATGTAAACCGGCCCCTTGGGATGCTCGAAAATCCGGAGTTTCGACTTTCGAATATCCGAAATTATGGATTATGGATACGGATTCAGATTGCAATAGGATACCTGAATATTTCCTCAATTTGTACTTACCTTTTACTCCAACTAAATATAAAATTCAATAAACATAAGCCGTACAGAATTTCTGGTTTCTAAATTCCAGCAGCAATGTTCGTTCACACAAGTAACTCAATAGTCAATAGTCAATAGTCAATAGTCGATACTCACTTTCCAGTGAGTTTCTTTCTATCACCTATATAGCAGCAAATAAGGAATTGCATAAAAGTCTCTAACGTACAAAATGCAGAATACAATTTGGCCACAAGAATAATAAGTCCACCTGGAGCACTATGAGGATATTTTAATTTATTAACCAGCTGTAACTGAAGTATCTTATTAATTTTCTTTAACAATATATACCAAAATTTATAGTTGTTTTGTTATTTTATGAATCTCCATATTGTGTGTTTCACTTAATCTAAGGGGTTATCGTTGACGAGTCCTCCATAAAGAATAGCAAACAGTCAAACTATCAATCGCAATTAAAGAACACACCACGGACTAACTGTAATCAATATCGCTACTCGCAAGTAGTGTGAAAAGATATTAAAGAGCACACCACTACCCGCCACAATGGACTTTCAACGGTGTTGCAACTTTCTTGCAAAGACATCATGTCAGCATCTTCCTTGCAATTTCTGAAAGACTTGCAATTCAGTTGCATATGATCTGACTGGTTTTTATCAAACGTTTAGTAAGAGTCCGATAATTCATAATTATTTATTGGTTGCATAAATCCGATTTTTTTTGAATCCAGAAAATATTCGAACCAGGTTTTTTAAAACTGGTTTCGAAAAAACCAGAAGTATAAATGATCTGGTAGTTACTAACTCGATTAAAAAAATGGGAATCTGATTTTTCCCAAGAGTTTTATCCAATTTTAAAAACTCCAGATTTTAATCCGATTAAAATTTGATTTTTTTGAAAAATCTTTATCCCAAAAAACTTACACTTTTACAAGTAATTATTTGGTTTGAGTAAATTTGAATTAAATAAATAAAATGGATTTTATATAGGCATACCGGAAAACATATTAAAACGAGATCATTTGAATTTGTATCGTTATAAATTATACGAGATGTTCAAATCTAATGCCAAAATCCTGTAAAAACATATTTGGATTTAACCAAAATCGATAACCAAAAAAAGATTTAATGTGAACCGGATTTAACCAAAATCAAGTTGATATATAGTTCTATTTAGTTGATAATATTTTTACATCATTGTAATATTATTTAAACGTATTTATATAATTTATATATAAACCAAATATGAAGTACTATTTGATTATTATATATCTTAAAAATTATTTATTGTTTAAATAATAAATATTTATATTCATATCCATATTAATATGATTAAACTATTTGAGCCAATAATTTTGGCAACTCACTATAAATTAAATATCAAGCTTGTCGAAATCCAATAAGTTTGAACCAACAAGTCAAAGAGAACTTCTCTCTCATATCCCCGCACAGGCTTTGAGTTCTTGTAATTCTCTCTCCTTTTTTCTATTAATAGCAAGAAAAGAATCTTTGAAGTTGCATAAATCTCATACTGCTTTTTCATTTGCAGATCATAAATCATCTAAAAGCAACATGGGTGCAGGTGGTAATATGTTGGATCCATCAAAGGCCAACGATATACTAAAACGTGTCCCAGTTGAGCCACCATTCTCACTAAGTGATCTAAAGAAAGCAATCCCTGCCCATTGCTTCGAGCGGTCTCTCATCCGTTCATCTTACTATGTTGTTCATGATCTCATTGTTGGCTACGTCTTTTACTTCCTTGCCGATAAATATATTCCTATTCTTCCTTCTCCTCTAGCATACTTAGCATGGCCAGTTTACTGGTTCTGCCAAGCTAGCATTCTTACTGGCTTATGGGTCATCGGTCATGAATGTGGTCACCATGCGTTTAGTGATTACCAATGGATTGATGACACAGTCGGCTTCATCGTCCACTCTGCTCTTCTCACCCCTTATTTCTCTTGGAAATACAGCCATCGAAATCACCATGCCAACACAAATTCACTTGATAACGATGAAGTTTACATTCCTAAACGCAAGTCCAAAGTCACGCTTTACTCAAAAATTCTTAACAACCCACCTGGTCGAGTGTTCACTTTGGTGTTTAGGTTGACCCTAGGGTTTCCTTTATACCTCTTAACTAATATTTCTGGCAAGAAATACGGAAGGTTTGCTAACCATTTTGATCCGATGAGTCCAATTTTCACCCAGCGTGAACGGATTCAAGTTCTGGTATCGGATTTTGGTCTTCTTGCTGCATTTTATGCAATTAAACTTCTAGTAGATAAGAAAGGAGCTGCTTGGGTAACCTGCATATATGGAGTTCCAGTGCTAGGCGTATTTGTCTTTTTCGTTTTGATCACATATTTGCACCACACCCATCTGTCATTGCCTCATTATGATTCAACTGAATGGAACTGGATCAGAGGGGCTTTGTCAACAATCGATAGGGACTTTGGCTTCCTGAATAGGGTATTACATGACGTTACACACACTCACGTCTTGCATCATTTGATTTCATACATTCCACACTATCATGCTAAGGAGGCAAGGGATGCAATCAAACCAGTCTTGGGCGAGTTTTATAAGATCGATAGGACTCCCATTTTCAAAGCAATGTATAGAGAGGCCAAGGAATGCATCTACATCGAGCCTGATGAAGATAGCCAGCAAAAAGGTGTGTATTGGTACCATAAAATGTGAACAATTGGAAAAATGTATCTGCGCAATTAATGTCTGTTACCTTTATTCTATGTATAATAAACTATCTTGAATAAAACTTTGCTGAAATTGTTGGTTTTTTAAATATGCTTCAGGGTTGTGATATTATATCTACGTGCACTTAAAACCTGTACCAAATTGGCTTGCTTCTTTGTGCACTTAAAACCTGTACCAAATTGGCTTGCTTCTTTTTTTTTTTTAACCGCAAATATATTTCCCTCCTAAACTGCTCTTAAAACCTGTACCAAATATATTTCTCTCCTAAACTACTCTTAAATCTATTTATGTCTCTAAAGACACCTATATAATATATATTGAGTAATCAATACAATTTCATAAGTTGTACATCTAACCCCTATGCTTCTGGGTTGTGATATTATATCTACGTGCACTTAAAACCTGTACCAAATTGGCTTGCTTCTTTGTGCACTTAAAACCTGTACCAAATTGGCTTGCTTCTTTTTTTTTTTAACCGCAAATATATTTCCCTCCTAAACTGCTCTTAAAACCTATACCAAATATATTTCCCTCCTAAACTGCTCTTAAAACCTGTACCAAATATATTTCCCTCCTAAACTACTCTTAAATCTATTTATGTCTCTAAAGACACCTATATAATATATATTGAGTAATCAATACAATTTCATAAGTTGTATATATATATATATATATATATATATATATATATATATATATATACATTATAAAGGAAATCCTACTATTTCTAAAAATAAATTGAATAAAATAATATTATTTTTTTAAGACGTCCAAATATTTAAGCTTAAGGTACAAGTATCCATCAATAAAATAATATTAAATTTTAAACTTCATTGGAACAAGTCTACGATTTGAATCCCCATAATTCGGCAAATCTACCTCCATTCTCTTGTATTTCTCCTGCATCCCTTATCTATACACCGAAAAGGGCACAATTTAATTACTGCATTATAAATCACTCTAGAAAACCCTAGAACCATAACTAGATGCCGTATTTAACATCCCTCTCTATTAACCCTCTTTCCCTCCTCTCTAGCTGGTGAATACAATAACCACAACCTACCAAAAATAAGTGTTGGTGCTTACATCAACACCCACCAGCGGAAGATGTAGACTACGATCATCATTGCTAAACCGACATTGATCGTCTCTCTCTCTCTCTCTCTCTCTGCACAAACACATACCATTATCACCCATCATTGCTAAAGGAATCTGGATGCCTTTCAACAATCTAATCTGGATTTTGTTATGAAGATCGATGCTTGAAGCATTGCTTTAAGAAGTATTGGTGAGCTCCTCCACCTATGTCTGTGCTTATTCATTGTAAATGATTCTTTGATTTTGTTGCAGATCTGTTTCATCATCCCATTCCATCAATTTCACTGATCGTTTCGAGTTTTCATCTTCAAATGATGAAGAACCGTTCAACCGGTAAAGCATGTGCTATCTATTATTATTTTGCTTTTCATTTCATGTGGATTTTTGTTTTTGTTTTTGATATTGTAGGTGCGACTTTTTGTATTTTGATCTCCCAGGTTGGTTGGAATTTTTTTTAGATTTTTATTTTTGGACTCTCATCTACATCTGCAAATGAGTATTATGCCTCTTTCTCTCCATATGTATTAATTTATTATTTGATTCTAAGGTTTACTAACCCCGGTGAGAAAGCATCAAAAAAAGAGTGGCGTGTTTCTTTTGAGCAACGGGGGTTTGAGACTTCATATGGCATAAAATATGTTGTGTTCAATATTTTTCAAAAAGTAAAATTAAAACCCTAAATTCCCCAAAAACATTTCTATAAACCTAAAGTTTCAGTGGAGGAAGATGGCTGTATAATCAACGGTCCTTGTTTTCTTCAAGGTTCTTTATCTGGTTCTTTGAATTTCAATTTTCATTTGTTATTTGCAATTCTTTGTTTACCTTTTCTTCCATTCTTTTGATTTACCCTTTACTTGACTACTGGTGATTGTTCTTGATTCTTGAATGGATTTAAATGGTATGGAGGGGGATTTTATTAGTTAAAGATGGTGGGTTTTTGGTTCTTTTTAATAATTTCAAAATGAGTGGAAAATTTGGTAAAAAGGAAGTGTAACTTCTGTGTAGAAGTCAAAAATGTGGGGGATTTTTGTTTGTTACAACTATTATAATATATGTTTTGTCCGAGGGCAAAGCTAAGGCAGTATAGTTATATGGGTATGATTTGGCTTTATCTAAGGGGTAATCAGTACCAAGTTCTGAAAGTTAGTATCGTATATTATGGACTTATGGTGATAATCATCCATATTTACTCATTGTAGTTTTGGAATAGAGGTTGGATAGGATTCATCCAACCAACACATGATTTTTTATTACGTTTAAACACTCACATTTTAGGGTTTTGACTTAAAAAATTCATTGAATGTATCTGGTTCTTCTATTCGAAATAGTCTTGCAGTTTTTTTCTTGCTTTGTTGTTAATGGATTTTGTAGATGATTAGTGGTATGTATTTGCATATTATTTTTGTGATATCAAATCCGGTTATATTCAAGTCTCACTCATTTGATACATGTGTGATATTTGGTGAAGGAGAGTTGAAGTTTTGAAATAAAATCAAGTATCAGAGAAGTACTCTAAATCACCCAACTTCAGTGAACATGCAATGGTATAATTGGCAAGGGTATATTTTTGTAAAATGACTTTTTTTGCATGATTTTTCACTTTGGTGGACATGGCTTTTTTCTACCTCATTTCCCCCTTTATAGGTGAATATTTGTTCTCTTTTGTTTCTTGAAAAGGAAGAAAAAATAAAAGATGGATTAAATCGCTTTTTAGCACCATGGGCTTCTAGGTCTCATATTCGATAGAAATATAGAAATAAGTGGAATCCTTCTTAGAAGGGATATCATAGAAACTTAATTCACCTCGTCCCGAGATATTTCATTTTTGTGGTAATTGTACAAGATGCTTATTATTATCCAATTTTGAGGTTTTGGAGTTTTAGAGTTATAAGGGATTGCAAAGGGAAAACAAGGAAGTTCCTGGTACTTTAGAGTTTTGGTTTGGGATATTTGGTTACAAAACTAAAAATTGATTATAGATATGAAATTTTTAATTCATATTTATATATTAGTGTAAAAACCAAAAATACACGTGAAATATTAAACAGGTTACCAGTTAAACTAAACTAACTAAATCGATAATTTTTTATGTTAAAATACTGATTAAACCAAAACCAATTTTAATTAATGGCCTAATAACACCTATAATTTAAACTCGGGGAAATTGTAGCAAGCGAAAACGAATAAGTGGATGCACTTGAGATCTAAACGTAGCCTTGACGTTGTATATGTTTTATATTTATCATATTGTTGTTTATATTTATATTTTTAGATTTTAGATAATTATTAAAGTAATTAAGCTTTAGCTTACTCAAAGTATAAAATATATCTGATTACATTGTCTATTACTAGAAAAAAGAACTTTTATATTGATTAAAGTTGAAAAAACTATATACTGGGGTGATGCTAATAAGACATCCCATTACACTTTTATAAAAAAATCGACTTATAATTAACTACTTATAATCAACTTTTTCGGAAAATAATGTAATTTTAACCAATAAAAATATTTCAAAAACTTAATTAAGGTGTCAATATGGTAAAATGTGGTGCCTTTTTAGCCAATCTATAAAAATATCGATAAATTTTAATGTCTATCTAATTTACTTATGAATGAACACATAAATGAAATCACTAAGGATTTTTTTATTTTATTTTATTTTTATTTTTATTTTTATTTTTTCTTCGTAGTTTTAGTTTGCTATTTTTTTCTTAGTTGAAAACATAAATGAAGCATGGTCTCAAGGAGATTGGTAACATGCTTCATCTATTTTTGTATAATTGGTTTTTGGGAAAAAAATGAATATGTGGAGTATTAGAAAAATATATGGTGCCCCTTGTAAAAAATGTTATATCTTTTGTCTTCTGTAACTAATACTATGCGATAAGAACCTTTCGTGAGTAGTTATATTTGACATGTATAATGAATACCAACATGATTAATTATAACTAGAAAAGATTCCCCGGGCGTTGCTGGGGTCGGAAGGTATTGCTTTGTAAAGTAAAGTATCATGTTGAATTGCATTGAGATAATCTAGTAAAGGAAGATAAACAATGTCATCTAATTACATAAGTAAAGAAATCTAAATCATTATTTCTTGCAATAAATGAGGAAAATAAAGAAATGGTCTCAGAAATTGAACTTTATTGCCATGTATGGCAGCGGCCGGAAAACCAATCCGAAAAATATAGACCGTTGCTTTTTGTCCGTTAATGTGAGGGTAATTTGGTCTTTTCAGGTAGTAGGGACTGAATTTGTGACTATGGGTAAACCATATGGACCATTTATGTAATTTTGGCGGTGGTGGTGATGGTAGATGGTGGGTGGCTTTATGGTATTGGGTGGGTATTTTCTAATAAATAAAACATTAATTTAAAACCAAAAAGAGAAATATAAATTAATAAAAAAAATCGGATTAGGAGTAAAAGAGTGATTTCGGTTTCCATCGTTGTCCTCAATGTATTAAATCTGGTAAACCACAGGGACCAATCGTGTAATTTTGTCTAACAATAATAATAATAATAATAATGAGGGACCATTTCTGCCAAAAGACTCAATACTAATAATATGTAATAAAAGGCAAGGGTTATGAAAAATTCAAACCAAAGTGAAAGAGTTGTTTGTGAACAAAAGCATAAAGGTGAAGGGTCAATGTTATAAATTGGAGGACCAAAATTGACAAAAAATGTGCCACTTTACTGTTAAAATCTTTCATAACTTTAATATATATATATATATATATATATATATATATATATATAATAATAATAATAATAATAATTTTCTCATGCCAATATCATCATAGTCACAAGCCGACGTCATTCTTATTTCACGACTTGTTTGTTTTATTCGAAGGAAGAACTTCGGGGGTGTTTGAGAAAACTTTTTAAGGCTAAAAGTACTTTTTGAAAAATGACTTTTTGTTTAGTAACTTTTTGCAAAAGAAAATCTTTAAAAAGTGTTTGTATTTGCTTTTGGCATAAAAGTTAACTTTTCAAGTTAAAAGTCTCAAAAGTCACAAAAAGATAGGATTTGTGACTTTTGAAACACTCTCTTTTCCTTCAATACAAAAAGTCATTTTTAAAAGATTTTTTTCAATAGCCAAACATCTTTTGGATGTTTTTCAACTTTTTGGAAAAGTTAAAAGCCAAAAGATGTTTTAAAAGCAATGTCAAACACCCTCTTCATCTCCTACAATCTAATTGTCAGTTATTCATATCATATTTGAAATCTTATATATTTTTTTTTATGTTTTGTTTGTTTTTTTTCAAGAATGTTTAGAGGATGACAGATCTAATAGAGATCCATATAAAGCATATCATCATGTGGATTTGCTTCCTAATGAGATCGTTAAATTGTTTGAGCTCCTTTGTTTTGGATTAGTTTTGATTAAATTGTTCAAATATATTTTGTTTATTTATAGATAATGAGAAAAGACCTTTTACTTATTATTTTTTCATTGAATATCATGTGTGTATAAAAACTAATCTTTGAAACAAATATAATCACCAAGAGAAACTATTTGATGAAAGAAAACTATTATGACCACAATATGTATCTCTTTTGTGTTCCTTCAAATATAACATATTTTCGAATAAAGCTAATATTCAAAAGAAACTAATTGTCGATGAAAATTATTTGCCGCCGCCGCTTTGCGCGGGTAGACGGCTAGTATGTATATATATATATATATAATATATATATATAATATTAATATAATATATATATATATATAGATAATATATATATATATATATATATATATATATATATGGTGAGATTCAATAGAGAATCATAATTAACCAAGGAACCAATCGTGAGCGTCAGAAATCATAACGATCATCGGCCAAGGAAATAGATGACACTTTTATATTGGACGCACACACACCGGATTATACAAAAAAATCCACCATTTACAAAAAAACCCACCACTTTTTTTCGTTTAAAATTTTTTTAGACCATATTTTTTATCAAAAAAAAAACCGATTATACCGTTCACGATTTTTCGTCCTCTTTCCATAGAGATCCATGATGATATATAAAAAACGAACTTTTTTTTTCGAAAAAAACCTACTTCATTTTCTTTAATGAAAAAAGTTAAGATCTATTTTTTATAGAAAAAAATTAATAAATATATTAAAATTCATATTTTTTGTACTTTTTAAACATAGATTCATATTCATGTTTAAAAAAAACGATATTTGAGTTCAGATTCACATTGTGAACCTCCTCAGATTCACAGTGTGCATAATAATAAGTCGGATTCACAGTATGAATCTGAACTGATCGGAGGTTTTTCACATTGTGAATGTTAAAATTTGAAATATTTACAGTTTAGATTCACAGTGTGAATCTACACTGATCGAGGTTTTTTTTTTTGTGAACCTTCTTAGATTCACAGTGTGCATAATAGTAATTGAGATGCACAATGTGAATCTGAACTGTTCGAGATTTTTCATATTGTGAATGTTAAAAATTGAAATATTTACAGTTTAGATTCACAGTATGAATCTACACTGTTTGAGGTTTTTTTTAATCGGTGTTGATGTTTATTAATAGAGTACAAAAAATTAATATTTTTGGTATAATTAGTTTTTTTTTGATAAAAATAAACTTAAATATTGAAAAAAGA